TAACCACTACGCTACCAGAGAGATTGATAAATACGGTGCCATTGAATTGATTCCAACTCATTGCAAAGCAGCCCTATAGGACCAAATAGAACTGCTCCATAGGGTTTCCAAGGCTGTAAATCTTTACAGAGGCAGACTGCAACTTCTCTCTCCAGTGGAGAATCTACCTTTGACCTTTCAGTTCATAGAGTGCTTAATCACTGTGCTACCAGAGTTCCTAGAACACGACATGGCCAGAGACATGTGCATTGGATATGGCCACGACTTTAGTGATCCTAATCCTGGTGTGGTGCTGTAAGATAAGTACAGGGCTGCTAACCACACGGTCAGTGGTTCAAACCCATTGGCTGCTTCTTGGCATCCCCACACAGGGTCACTCTGTATTGGAACTGACTCAACAGCACTTAACAACAACAACAACAACAAGACCTTTAAGGAGTCCAGCTGTGGTACTGTTGGATCATCACTGGACTGCTAACCACAAGGTCAATGGGTTCAAACCTACCAGTTTCCCCTTGGAAGTGCTATATAGGGTTGCAATGAGTCAGAACTGACTCAATGGCACCAAACAACAACAACAAAGACAATTAAAAAATTTTTTATTGTGAAAGCTTTCTAATGGACCTCAAGTAAGTACTTATTCAGGTCCGTTCCAGTTGTATAACAATTGCTGTTGTTAATGCCATTGAGTTGGTTCTGACTAATAGTCACCCGGTATAGAGTTTCTGAGGAACGGCTGATGAATTTGAATCACGAACCTTGTGGTCCAATGCCCCTAATTAACACTGATCATGGGCTAATATGTTAAAACCAATTCAAATATTCCTTTCAAATTAACAAAATCTTATGCTGTAAATCTTATGCAGTGCCCTGGTATGGCGCTGTAGGATAAGCACTAAACTGCTAACCACAAGGTTGGCAGTTCAAACCCATCAGTTGCTCCTCAGAAATCCTATACAGAGGCACTATGGCTCAGAACTGAGTCAATGGCATTTAACAACAACGTGCTGCACATTAAGAAAAATCAATCTGATTTCATGTGTGCAATGGAAAGGAACTCACTGGCCCATGGAGTTGTAGTTTTTAATGAAACCTGCTGGTTTCAGTGCTCTGAGTGTTAGGAAATGGTCTGGGATGGAGTTTGAGCACTGGCTGTACCTTCTGGTTTATACTAGAACTAAAGAATGTAAATCAGATGTCTCCCAAATGTTCTCTTATTTTCTTACAGTCCAAGACATACCTCTAATCTTTGAGTGAACTCTGTTATCTCACCTTCATACAAGGGGTGTGACCCAAGTGTGAAGTACTCCCATTCACTACCCAGGCCCACCTGGGTAGTCTGTCTCCAGTATCACATCTACTCTGTTTGCAGTGGGATAATTAGTGTTAACTCTTAGGCGGCCTTCCACATTCTTGCTGTTTTCCAAGTGAGTCCCACATAAGTGGGCCTGAAACGCCTGTACTCTGTCCTTCAAACCCTCCCTGCAAAATGAGAGAGTAACTGCCCAGATTTGAATTTTGGGCTCTTTTTGTCTTCCTCCAGGGGCCTCAGAACTAGTATTTCTCCTGGAGCTAAGTGTTTTAAATATACGTTGGCATTTACTAGAACTAAATGACTAATTGGATGAAATTTGCATCAGTAAGTTATTTTTGTTTTGTTAAGTGCTGTCTGACTCATGTCGATTTTTGTTGTTGTTAGGTGCCATTGAGTCAGTACCAACTCATAGTGACTAATATGCACAATGGAATGAAATGCTGCCTGGTCCTGTGCCAGCCTCACAATCATTGCTACATTTGCTTCCACTATGCCAATCCATCTCGTTGGGGGTCTTCCTCTTTCTCTCCGACCCTCCACTCTATCAAATATGATATCCTTCTCCAGGGAGTGGTCCCTCCTAATAATATGTCCAAGTATCAGAGACGAAGTCTGGCTATCCTGGAATCCAAGGAGCATCTGGCTGTAATTCTTCCAACACAGATTTGTTTGTTCTTTTGGCGGTCCATGGTACTTTTAATATTTTCCTCTAAAACTGTAACTGAGTGCATTAATTCTTCTGTGGTCTTCCTTATTCACTGTCCAATTTTCACATGCATATGTCAGGTTATTGAAAATACCATGGCTTGAGTCAGGCGCACCTTAGTCCTCAAACTGACATCTTTGCTCTTAAACACTTTAAAGAGGTCTTGAGAGGCAGATTTACTTATTACAATATGTCACTTGATTTCTTAACTACTACTTCCATGAGTGTTGATGGTTGATCTGAGCAAAGTAAAGTCTTTGTCACCTTCAATCTTTTCTCCATTTACATGGATATTATTTACTGGTTCATTGGTGAGGATTTAGTTTTCTTTACATTGAGATGTAACCCATACTGAAGGCTGTGGTCTTTGATCTTCATCTGTAGTTTAAAGTCATCTTTGCTTTCAGCAAGTAAGGTTGTATCATCTGCATATCGCAGGTTGTTAATGAGTCTTCCTCTAATCCTGATGGCACGTTTTTTCTTCATAGAACCCAGTTCCTCGGACTATGTGCTCACCATACAGACTGAATAAGTATGGTGAAAGAATACAATGCTGGCACACACCTATCCTAATTTTAAACCATAGCTATTGTTGTTGTTAAGTGCCATCGAGTCGGTTCCGATCCATAGCGACCCTGTACAGGGTTTCCGAGGGTGTAAATCTTTACGGGAGTAGAAAGCCTCATCTTTCTCCCGCGGAGCGGCTGGTAGTTTCGAACCGCTGACCTTAAGGTTCGCAGCCCGATTCGTAACCGATTGGAAACCCATAAATTGTTCCTTGGAGTAAGCTAAAGCTGTCTGTTTCTGTAAAGATTTACAGTCTCAGAAACATCAAAGAGCAGTTCTATTTTGTCCTATAAGGTTACTATGAGTCAATCAACTCTCTGGCAGTGGATTTAATTTATTAGTTCTTGAGTAATGACCGTTTAGGACTATGCAGGAAAAAAAGAGATGCTTTATCACATTGCTGATGTCAATGGTGGTAAGAAGGAACTAATGACTGAGTTTGTGGTGATGAGTGAGAAAGAGCAAAAGTTAGCTTCAACCATGGGCTGAGTTTATTTAGTGGTTGATGCTCATTTCTCTATCCTTAGAGCTATCAAAATGATCATTACTGAAATAGCTGCAGGATATAAAATACCATTATTGCTCATTTGTAGCTCGTTTATACCCTAACTTCCTCTTTTTCCCTGGAAATGACTGTGACTGTGACTTAGAAATGTAGCCATTATGTTCTATCACAACTGTGATGATCTGAAATCATTTAACCATTTTTCTTTTTCACCTTCTTTTTTATAGGAAAGATGGAAGAGCTGAGTCAAGCCCTGGCTGGTAGTTTTTCTGTGTCACAAGATTTGAATAGCACAGCAGCCCCACACCCCCGCCTGTCCCAGTACAAGTCCAAGTATAGTTCCTTGGAGCAGAGTGAGCGGCGCCGTCGGTTACTGGAACTGCAGAAATCGTAAGGGATACTTTAACTACTTGGTTGCTTTCTCGGAGCTGGGAGGTGTGGATCAATCAGGAGGCCTCAGGCTTGTCTTAGTAGATCTTTTGTAGGTTTACCTTCTGGCCAATGAGATTGGGAGGGGTAAAAATCCTGACAGAGGTAAAACTCCATCCTGTATGCCCAGAATTTAGGAAAAGATGGGAGAGTAGGGAAAGACTGTAGTTTGACAGCAAAAGCTCAATTATTTGGTTAAATTTTTCTTTTTTTCCTGGCAGCAGTAGTGAGCTTTTCATTTCGGAACTTGTGAAAGCCACACCCATTCTTCCATTCCCCACATTCTCTGTGTTGCTGTTGTGTGGCTTCTCCAACACTCTGCATCCTGGCATTGGTGTGGTCTTCCCGTCTGCCTTCAGCCCAAATGTTTCTACTGAGCCCTTGGGAGTTCAAAACAAATAATTCCACAGGGAGCCTGAGGAAATGTCTTCCATGCACTCAATTCTAAATGCCAAGATGAACAACAGCCAAAGAGAACAGGATAGAAGTGTTTGAGTCTGGATTGTGCTGAAGGCAGGGCCTGGCCTTTTATTCTCAGAGTAGCCTGGACCTTTTCTCGGTAATGAATCAAGGGATTAAGGATTAGGAGAAAATATTAACAGCTGCTCAGTGTCCATCTGGTTTGTGGTTTTGCTCAGTGCTGCATCACTAGATGTATTTAACAGGGATGATTCCCTGTGGCCTCTGGAATTGCTTGTGGATTATATTCCCAGATCAGTCCTCTTGTTTTCTCTTTTTAATTATAATTATTTTGCAATAGATAATACATTCATATGGTTCAAAATTCAATCTTGATACAAGGGAATATGGTAAAAAGTCTCCCTCTTAATTCTGTCCCCTAGGCATCCCATTCTTTTGTATCCTTCCAAAGATGTTCTGTGTAATGTGTATGGCTCTGTGTGTATACAACAGGTGTTTTTGTTTTGTTTCAGTTTTTATTGTAAATTGAGTGATAGTTTACATTAGGGAACATCAGTTTTACATTCAGCGTTTCATTGTAGTGATTACAATCTCTGCATCATCATTTAACAATATTTGCTTCTATTCCCTCTGTTTTTGTTGTTTTTTTTGGTGAAGGGGATGTACACAAAAACACTCAGGAATATAATCATTTAAACAACCAAAGGACACATTCTGCAAGCCTGCCTGCTGGCCACCAGCACCTGCCTGCCAGCACACAGCCTTTCTCTTTCCATGAGTCTAGAGTCATCAGCTGCTCTCTCTCTCTCCATGCCCTCATCTCTGTCTCCATCTCTGGTGTCGCTGCTTCTCTGGATAGGATAACAATTTTTTAAAAAAACAATACAAGCTATTGCTTTTTTCTTTTTTTTTTTTAAAGGTTTTATTGTGAATTGATAGTTTACATGACAGAACATTGGTTTTGCACTCAACCAATCATATTTTGTTTCATTGTAATGACTACACTCCCCTCCATGCACAATCGGTTAACAATATTTGCCTCTATTCTCCACCCCCACCCCACCTCCTTTTTTTTAAAAAATGTACACAAAACACACAGCAATATATAATCGTTTAAATAACCAAAAAGGCATGTTTTGCAAGCCAGCCTCCTGCCTGCCAGCACACAGCCTATCTCTTTCCATGAGTCTTGAGTCCTCAGCTGATCTATCTCTCCATACCATCACGGACGCCTCTATCTCTGGTGTCACTGCTTCTCTGGTTAAGATCCCACATTCCACTCATGCTCTTCCTTCCTGATGGTCCTAGGGTCCTCTGTTCCTGGAATGTAAGATGAACTACTCCCCGCTTTTGGTTACACATCTTCTACTTTTATAGTTGTGACAATCGAAATTAGTCATGCCAACAATTACTATTGAATCAAAAGAATCCTATCCCCATTCCCTTTCACCAGACTCATCTTGTTGTTGTTGTTAAGTGCCGTCGAGCCGGTTCCGACCCATAGCGACCCTGTACAGGGTTTCCGAGGGTGTAAATCTTTACAGGAGTAGAAAGCCTCATCTTTCTC